CAAGGATGACCGGAAGGCATGCCCAGGCTCGCGAAGCAAAGGAAATATAAATTTTGACGACAGAAGGCCCTTCCCAGACACGGCGCAGTCATTATGGGCAGATTAGAAACATGTCACGTAGCAATTGAATCAGCCCTTATAAGCCTACATACCGCGAAGCGTAAACTCGCATTGCCAGTTTATAGGTTCGCTCCAACCAGGAGACGTGACATTGTTTAAAGTCCTTAGATTGCAGAGCCAAGGGGGAAATGCTCGCTGCAATTATTCGTTCCTCCTAGCGTCATATCGCTCTCCTTCATATCTCGTCAATATTTAGAAACAGTCCGAATTTTTAACCAAACGTCGGGACATCCCGGCTCGTACTTGCCGGCACGTCATCCCTCGAAAGACCGGGTGGTGTTAAACTTGTAGTCTGCAATGGGCACAGATCGACGGGCTTCTAATGAAGAGTTAGATCCTCCATATTCCGTGCGGTGGCACAGGCGGTTTCCTCTGTCAAAGCGGCCGTACGAGCAATATCGATCATAGCCGATACTAGAGACCCAGCCCGATAGATACAGGTACTAGGACAATCCCCATGCGAGAGCATACAACGGGGGATCATTGACGTAAAGAGTCACCGGTAGTGTACATAGGGTGGGAGTAGCTTAGCTATTTCTTTACTGGTATTGGACACCGGTAACCTCGAAGAAACTCAAACGCACCAAAATCCATTTCCGTTTCTAGAGCTGAGCTCGCGACGCTCTATGCCGATTGTCCTGCCCTTGCTCTTGCTGCCGGCAATAAATATTGCTTTTTATAGCAGAAGTCGTTATGCTGCCTCTCGTTCCTATAGATCGTTTCACACAACCCCCAGCCTTAAAAGGAACAGAATCTCTTCCTCTTACTTACCCATGAACGGTCATCTTTGCGGGTTATTCCTAACGAACGGCCCCCCTGGTCTGGCAACGACCGTAGGCGCCGGAATACCCGTCTTGATTATCGCCGAAATCTTTTTCTTTACTCTTCGTCGTCATCTCCGGCGTCCTTACCATTGGCCGTGTCTTCATACCCCCGGCCTCCCTGAGTTTCTCAGGGCTCTCTGCCTAAGCTTGAGTGACATAGAAGCTGCCAAAAGTTTCGGGCCACCATGAAATCAATTGGTAGGCATGCTGCAGAGGGGAGGAGAGGAGACATTCACGCCCAGTCTCGCGGGGTATCCATTCTGGGCATTTATAGTCATATATAATTGTTTCTCAGCTATTCGAGCTCTTGAAAGGGCCGTGTTCCTAGCATACTAGTTAATAGAGAGCCCAAAGACAGGACTTGGACGTGGAGGGTCAGCCCTTAATGTGTTTGACAATTAGACCAGTGACTTCATGACATGCTATGGCTTTCGTCATATGTTCCAGATTGTCAAGGTCAAACTAACGGATCATATTCTTGCTACTATCCTAAGAGGATCCCTAAGGAAGCACATACATTCCCTCAAGTAGAGCCCTCTTTGAAAGCCCTTGATTACTAGTCCAGGTGGCTGGCGCCGTCTTCACCGGGTATGGACCTCCCACAACCATTAATACCTACAATGCCACTGGGCGCAAACTTTCTAGAGATCCTCCAACTCCTAGGCAAGGAAGTGCCGGAGACGCCTCTCAACGCCTTTTGGTGTTTTTGTGCTCGTTAAACTCTTTAATGGGAATTTTTTATTGCACCCCATACATATTTCCTTGCGCTTCGAACTTAGTTTGGCCGACAGCCCCAGCGCCCCAAACATCAACGCCTAAGGGGGCCCGATGAGGGTAGATGAACGGCTGAGCCGGCGAGAGGAGGTTTTCCCAGTCACATGTGGGTTCTGTTTCGTCTCATACATGATACCATCATATCCGTGTCCCAACGCTCTCCGCTCCTTGCCCTCGGGATAACCGCAAGGCAGGACTATCGTCTTCCACCTCCCAAGAAAGTGTCACTACCCTTATCCGGAGAGGCAGAGACAATACCCGCATCAGGTCTCCTGAGCCTGAAGATGAACGTAGAATATGATACACATGTCCTAGCTACTGTTAGAGTGGCACTCACGACGTAAAAGCAATTGTCTGTGTGCGTCTCGTCTCAGTAGGCGTTGAGACCAGACACGTCTCGGTCAGATCGGTCAGGGCTTGTTCGGGGCTGGAAACACGGACGCTTGGCAGGCGAACGCAAGCTTATATTACCTAGGTATATGGCACGTACCCACGGCCGTACCGGGATCATCGATCTATTCGGTTTCCCTAACGGTCCGAGGATAGCTTCTCCTGGCCTGGGTCTCCCGGATACATCCTAAGTACTGCTATCCGACCGCCTTCTCCGGATAGCGGCCTAACGTCATACCATCCCCAAGCATAAGGGCAGTCCTCGCACAAGTATCCGATATCCGACGACCAACCAAAACGGGGGTTGGCATATAGCGATGCAGGAATCAATGTTACATCATATATTTCGAAGATTACATGCACCACATCCCCCACCCCGTCGCCACGTGAGAGCTGGTCTGGTGTCGCTGATGAGCTGGGGCGGCATCACCTACGGGGTCCTGTGTATCTACCGGCGATAGACGATAACATAAGCTACCATGGCTGAGCACACCGGCGGAGCGTAAGTCAAGCCAGGTGGGGAGAAGCCTACTCTGCCGTCCAAACTGGAATTCATTCATTTCCCTTGGCTATCACCGCCACCGCCGCCGCGATATCATCGAGACGGCGGTCGTCACAGCAAACAGTGAAGCAGGGAAAATTTACGGGAGGGATCCGCGGGAAGAAGGAAAAGGGGAGAACGTTGGGAATTTAGTCGGACGGCTTGCAGCTCCGTTAGCACGGCGGTTAGACTGCCGACTCCGAGCCCCGAGCCCCCCCCAGCCTCGCTCGCAAAGCATCAACCGCCCTTCAGAAGGCCAAGTGGGAAAAAAAAAAACAAGGCAGAGAGAAGAGGAGTAGAGGGGCGGACGTAGTCGGGTGGCGCTCGAGATAGACTCAGCACAATCCGACTCTCTTCTAGCTACGGCTGGGGATCGGATGTAACACATTAAGGAGTAGAGGGCAAATATATCGGATTCTAAAAGACGTGAGGTCCTATAGATAGCCGTGCGAAGGTGTAGACGGCAGGGCACCTAGGTTACCTAAGTATGCCGGTTAGACCATCCCCCACATCCCCACCTCTCTCGTCTCCAAACCGATCCTATTCTAGGATCCATGCAGGCCGATGTGCCTGTCCGCGAGAACGACAGCAGGCATAGTGGATTCCAAGCGAATACCGAGCTCGCCGACGGATAATTTGCGGTATCGCTTGACGAGCAGCTAGCGGGGCTAGGAAAACGAGACCGATGACAATCGGCCCCTAACATGGACTATTTTACTTGTATGGATATGCCCAGATGTATAATATGAATATGTGTCGAGGATCTTACCCCTTGATCGTGTAGGTGCGCATATGCGGGCATCGGCTTCTCTCCCATTCTCCCTCCTACTCCCCCCCCTGGGCGTCGCCCGATAGATCATCCAATTCAAGTTGAATCTCCCTACTCTGACTGGAGTTAACCGCTTGCATATGCCACGTTGTCTGGCGCGCTAATGTGGTGATAGATTGGGACGGATAAGGCGAGAAGCAGGAAATCGGCCTTGTGATACGAGGGGTGAGAAGATGTGATTACGCTACCGGAGCCAGGACAGGGCCTCGCTCCCGGGTTGCGCGCGTGAATGGCGTGAGAGGAGGAGATGCTACTCTGAGTGCATGCGCGTATATGTGTGTATGCGTATACGCATGTAGGCATATGTGCATGTATGTATGTGAGCTCAGGCTGCATGTCATTTGTAGATACAGCATGGGCGTGGCGAATGGGCGTGAAGGGGGAGGGGGAGGGGAGAGACCTACAGTTGCGACAGCGTAGTGTTGTTTTGCGATCCGGGTATATCTGTGTTGGCTAGAGAGAGAACGATCCCTCCCCCCTCCTCTCACTCTCTCTTCACAACTAGTCATCTACTCACCTCGACTACGCCTCCCGCCCACACAGATTCTATTCGCTAGAGTCTACACGTTGTCAGGCCGCGCACATAGGGGTATCGGCTACGGGACCAACTGGGTCATCGTCTGGATATGCTCTGCATTGTTGGTGTCCGTAACTGAAGGAGTCGGGTATAGATCCGATAAGGAGCTTTGTGTGACTCAACTCTGGTCTGGGGGGCGTTGGAATGCATATGAGCTTCTCAATGGGCAGATCAGACTTATGACGACATGCAAGAGTGGGAGATGTCGCTGTTGACGCATTGGGCGGCACTGCAATGCGACGTTTTCTGCTTACAGGTCCGCTGTTTTCCTCGGGGCGTGACGAACGAACGGACCCAACAGCGTCTCTACCCTGCGTGTGGGGATGCGAGCAGGCCGTTGTTAGGTCTGTGATTTGCACGCTGGTGAAGAAAAAAAATACCCCCATGACTTGCAGGAAGACCAGTGTCCACTGGGCGGGCCCGAGATTATTATTCGTCTAGTCCCTCAGCTAGGATTCCAGGTTGAGATGCAGGAGGCCTAGCTCCTCGCCTGTCGAGGACATGATCATCGGTTCTAAGGTGTAGACATGGCAAGTAACAATCAACGTCCCTTGCTACCCAGAAGTGAGGTTGCAGACTGCGGAATTGGCAGTCCCACACGAGCGGCTCTACGAAGGCTCTACGAACTTTCGGAGGGGAGGCTTAGGGTAGGTTCTCCTAACGCTGACGCGTACGTGCTAGGAGTGACGGAGAGAGAAAAAGGTGTGCGTATGTATAGGTATGTCTAAGATATAGGTTGAATGGCCCGAGCCTTGGCGGTGAAGCCGGCGGTCGTCTCGGTTCCAACTAGCCTGCCAACACTTTTACGATCTAGGTCTTCTTTCGGAGCCGCTGAGCTAGTGAATCCACGGTTCAACGCAGGTAGGCAGGCTAACGAGACATAGTTAGTTAAGTAACGAGGATAGCGTCCGGTATATGTACATACCCGCGGATTACCTAGCAAGTCTTCCTAATCCTGCCCCGATGGGCTAAAAACCTGTGATGAGTGGTGTCTAAGGCAGAGGTGGCAGATAGGCATACGGAGATAGAAGCACGCAGAGACTAGCATGTATGTACCTGTATCCGAGGTATGTAGCGCCTTTATCATCACTGACTAACAGGTACCGGTCCCGTGATAGGCGGCATGCAGGAGGGAATGGATGGTATGGCGGTTTGGCGCCCTCGAAGCTCCTCGGACAAAGGACGGCGCGACGTCATGAGCTTGGCAGACCCGGAAAGGGGTAGGCGAGCGAAGCAATAACTAACTGCGAATGAGGGTGTGGCTATGCTGGCAGAGAGCCCATATGGATGGCGGTCGCCTCATTCAATTGGAATCCATTGGACGACGAGACGGAGTTCGTTCTGTCGAAAGAATGGCGGATGGTGGGGGCAACCTTTCCCTTTCCAGTCGCCCCGAAGACTGTCGGGGCAGGGTAGCATACATAGCAGTGGTCGTAGCGGCGGCGGCGGCGGCGGCGGCGGCGGTGGCAGACCTACCATCCATCTACATGGACGGTAGACATAATAGGATGTAGTAGCGGTGGTGGTGGCGGTGGTAGTGGTGGCGGTAGTAGCAGTAGCAGTAGTAGTGGTGGTGGCAGTACCACCAAGCACGCTAGCCCCGAGAGACTGATCGGCATCCCTCAGAAAGGCATCCCAACCCTGCTGCGCTGCTGCCCTTGTTCTGGCTGGCATGCACACATCTGCGTATGTATATACATACGTATGTAGACGGAGTGACCCCCTCCCCCTCCCCCCCAACTCCTAACCTGACCCCGGCCCTTCATAGTCGAGCACGGTGCGCTACGCTGCTTGCGAGAGGAAAATCTGGGGAAGGCAAGGGGGGAAGGGGGAGGATCCGCGCCCCCCCCCTTCTCGTCGTTGCGCAGCCGATAACCTCGGAATATGAGAAAGCAGGTACAAGTTGCTGTCAAAGGTGACGAGTTCTGTATGCTTCGAGTTGTTTCAGCTAGGCCTGGCTGTCTAATAGAGGCTGCTGACAACAGAGCTGGCGAGGCGTCGTCAGCAACAGCAGCAGCCGAAGCAGCGCGGTGCAACGCAACGCGATGGGTAATAGGCCGATACTCGTGTGTTGACGAAACAGCGGCCAAAGCTACCGGCCGGGCCGGCCACTCAGAATACTGCCAGTGGTCATCGGTGCCCACACACGCTATTGGGATGGGCTGCAGGAACTTGTGCCACGGCAAGGGGGGGAAGGGGGTGAGTTGGATTCGGCCTCGAGAGAAGAGAGCTAGAACAACGTGCATTGTGCGTGGTAGCCAACAAAGACAGCGTTCAATTCGCGTGTTGGTCGCCGGGGCGATTCGCTACTATGCCCGTAAAGCAGAGGGGGGCATAACCCGCCTACACTTGACGTCGACGTCGACGTCGACGAGGTATCGAGACAGCCGCCGCCTTCTCCCGTCTAACCCCAATTAGCCTCGGGGCTGATATATAGGGGAACGAATGGTTGCACACGTCCTATCCAACCGGCCGATTTTTGGGGGACACCTGACTCGACGCGTTTTTCACCTTGGATCCCTCGTGCAAGTGCGGCTTGGGCAGTGCCGAACCTTGCAAAGATGCTGCTTCAAAATTGGTTAGCGGAGCCTGCTCGTGGACGTCCGGAGAATTGTTCAAAAATAAAATAACATACAACCAGCGCAGATCAGAGGCCCTATGTGGCAGGACGGGCCTCAGCGGTCTCGGAACGGGGTCAGACTGGCCCCCCCGAGGATAAAAAGGACCCCCGTTCGGATTGATCTCGTCTGCACCCCTAAAGTGGTCCCCCTTTTTGCCCCCCCTTCCCTCTCTCTCTTCTCGGAGAAATTTGGGGAGGAGAGGGAGACGGGGCGAGCGAGGTCTCTCTGCATGTTTCCCCAGATGCCGGAGCACCGGTGAGCGAGCGTGCGCTCCGGGTATGTGCCATGTGCCATGGGGAACACATGCCGGTTGAGGGTGTAGCAGGCGGGATTTCATAGCGGCCATATCCCTACATGTTCCGAGACGGCGAAAGCAGCAGGTCTTGCCGCAAGGTCCTCCCGCCTCGTCGTAGGACTTGGAAATTGAGTGCGAATTGACACGGTATGCTGCCCTGCCTTGCCTGCTTACCAGGTAGGTACCAGCCTATCCCAAGTACAGCCATAAAAGAGGTCGGTGCGTCCAATACTCTAGGTACCTACGGTACATTGGCACGCGTACTACAGCCTTGAGAAGGGTTTCAACAGGTATTAGCAATCTCAGATGCGGTCAGCAGCCAACCGGTATACGGCGCCGAATGCCAATGTACGGGGGACAAATGCCCTCCGAGAAAGGCGAGGGTGAGGCACCTGAGGCCGTTGATAAATTGATTTCTAGGTGCGAGCCTCTCAATCGTGCTTCCATTCTACCTAGAGTACCACCTATGTAGGTAGGTAGCTAGGTACCTTAACACTGGCCAAGGCTGTACCTTATACTTACCTTCCCTTTCTGTATGTAGGTGCCTCCTAGCTAACCCCCTACCTTAGGTAGGTACCTCTACTCGCAAGGCATCATGCCTTGTATCGGGCTTGCAATGCGATGGATGCTAGGCTATCGCTAGACGGTAGGTTGAATCCTCGAGGTGTCGGAGTTAACGCCTAGGCATAAAATACCTTATGGATGTGCCTGGGTGCCTCAGGTACCTAGGTAGGTACCTACCTCTGTATAAACAGGTGTCTACCTAGGTACCTGCCTCTCTTACCTGGTACGGGGTGCGTTGTAGGCATTTCTTACCTGCCCGCCTGTTCTCTGATCATATTGCCGCTTTCGCCATCGCCGCGAATGGGGGCGCCAAAGCTCTGCCTCCCCGTCGCGGTTACAGCTATGGGTCGTGGTGGAATTCGGCGCTACGTGATGTGCATCTAAGCGTTAAATGTCGCCTGTAGTTCCGAGCGATTCTTGGCTTGCCCACTGAAAAAAAAAAAAACAAGTTAACGGGAATTGATACTCGATATACAGCAGGCGTACCATTCGGCTGACGGAAATGCGTACGAACATGCATATACGCACGTACACAGACAACAGATAAATGGGTGGGCCCACGGGAGGGTTCAAGTGCATGATGCTGCGAGACCCTAGAGGCTTTTGACAGATATGGAGATGCGGTTGATAGGTAGATGGGTAGGCGTAGCATACCTACTGCCTAGCATACACAGCACGAATACTAGGCACCTAATGTAGCATACATATACCTACCTACATACTAAAGTCAAGCAAGAGAGCCATCCCGATGGCAGCGTGACAGCACTTCTACGTACCGAACGGATCAATAAAACCGCCCCCGGTTGCGCCGAAACTTCGTTTCCGACCACGCGAACAGGTAAAGATCATCGCCGTCACGGGAGCGGGGACGAGCCTAGCTAGGACGATAATAGAAGAGAGAGAAGGAGCGAGAGAGAGCGCGCGGGAGGTATATAGAAGAGGAAGAATGGAAAAGGGAGGGAGACGAAGAGGGAGACGACGATAATGCGGCTGCTGATATCAAAACAAGATATTGGAATCAAAGAAAGGGACGTGCTGAGTTGCGGGTTGAAGGAGTGAGGAGGAGAGCGATGCATCTCGGATGGGTTCTCCCTCACCCCCTGTTCGCCCCCGAGGATTATTTTCTCGGCTATGATGGCAACACGGCCAGCTGGCGAGAATTGCACCCTGACGTGGAGCATGAAAATGCAGGGGTTTAAGCCGTTGATACCCCAAACGTGCTCGAGGACCCGTCGCTGCCCTAAGCGCCTCGGCTAGCCCAACCCGAGAAGGCCGAGGAGGACTACGGGATGGAATGATGATGATGTGTGAGCCTGGGCGGTTATTTCGACACACACAGCCCTAGTCAGCCTTGCTATCACCATCGACAAGCCTGTTTCGTTTCCCGTGCTGATACCAGGTGATACTCTCCAGTCCCAATTGTCAACTCAGGAACCGGAGAGAGAGAGAGAGAGAGAGGGAGAGAGGAGACAGGGTGGGAAAAGGTTGGGATGTGTCACGACGATAGGTGTGGGTTACGTTGGGTCTTTTTTCTTTGGCGACTTGTTAAGGGCGGCATCAACGGGTAAAATCAAGGGAATTTAGGTTAGAGACATATGCTAAGTACCTAACCTCTTAATCTATCAGCCACCTCTAGCTAATTGCCTGTTACAGGAAATAAAACGCTGGCGTGTGCTTATATACAGGTGCGAATTTAAGTACAAGAAAGAGGAGGACCCTAAGCCCTCTGATCGGTCCTTTCACCACAAATGCAAGTCTTGACTCGTAACCGGACAGTGGCTTCTACCGTCGCGGCCTTCTCCCCAGGACAACTGCAGTTGACACAACCCTATTCGACATTGATTTCGGTGTTCCAAACGAGGCTACTTTCGATCGTGACGGTTTTTCGGTAGCGCATCAATCAGGTCTCGGGCGATGGTGATGGCGTATATAGGAACGGCAACTATATGTAGGTGCTCATATGCAAGTGGGTATCAACTAGGAATCCTCATTTGGCACAGCGAACATCTACGGCGAGATGGGACGTATATACATAATCGAAATGTTGTCATTGCTGATACACACCGTACTCTAGATTCTTCCTCGCCTATCTTAGTGCAAACGCATGTGGCCTAGATTAGGTAAATCGCATACTCTTGATGTTGCATACCCGGCCAGTATCCAGGCAGGCGGTCGGGCATGCTAGGTACCCAGGATTATGCCTCGTCCACGCGAACTATACACGTTTTGAAAACAGCGCACAACTCCTGCCCAATATTTATTTCTCTCTCTCACCAACACATTCAAGCACGTAACCTACGCGCCATAGTTCACGTATCAATCTATGTTCACCTTAGGTTGGCGTAAGAAGTAGGAAACGGATGTGAGCCCCTCCGTACGGGAGCGAAGTAGCAGAGGAGTAAATGGCACTGCATTGCCATATTGTCGCCGATGTTGTGATGTTCATTCTGTCGGGAGGATGACAGCAAAATGCTCCCCAAAAGGGCAATCAATTCAACGGAGCAACACCGTCAGCAACAACGGTGCTGATGCCCATAAGGGCTCTCTGCCCGTAATTTAACAAGTGGGTAATTGAGCACGCCCACGGATCCGAGACAGGCTTTGGTTTTGGGTTATCATTACGGAATAAATGAGTTCCAGATTGCCAATGTTAGCACAGCATATTATAGGTTATATATCCAGAAACGATTGTTGGTTTGCGTGGGATCCTGGCAAGAAGCATAGTGCGACAAGAGGATGTAGTTATGCATACTACGCAATGTATGTGTAATATTCTTTCTCCCACCCTCGGTTTTCTTGCCGCCGTGGCTGCTGCCCTGGAGTGATCCGATGATGCAATGGTAGGCAGGTATGTAGGTAGGTAGGTAGGTACTTACCTACGTACCTAATCACGGAATGTACCAGCTGTAGAAGGCACCTACACATACATTAGGAGGTACCTGCCTCATTGCATGTAGGTATCTTTTATGTACCTGTGTGCACGTGCATATATACCTGTATATGCCACACGCCGTAGGAGGTACCTACCTACCTACCTACCTACCTACCTACCTACCTACCTAGGTAGGTGCGCAACCAACCTATATGAGTAGTACATCCGTACCCAGGTACCCAAATGCCCAAGGCAAAAAGCTTGGCCGGGTTAGTATAGCCGACCTTAAGATAGATGGCTGATCTGCGAGGGTGTATATCCCTAACGCCTGCCTACCGCAGAGAGTTGGGGGTCGAGAGGGCCCGATCAACTCACCCTGCTGCTTCATGCTATATCGCACATGCGCTGAATGCATGTGCCTTATGTACCGTATGGGCATGTATGCAGAGGGGGCAGGCGGTAACATGCACACGCTTGGGTTCTAGAATGTAGGCAGGCCTATAACGATACAGCTATACGCACAGCGCGCTGCGGGAGAAAGGTTGGTGAACGAGCAGAGCGTGCGACGTAGCAGACATTGCCCGAGGGTTCCGTCGGCCATCGACCGGAGTGGGTGGGTAAAATCTGTCGTCAAAGCCACGCGGACCCATATACACCTACATAATCCAACATTGCCCCTCGGTCCCCCCCAAGTCCCTCGAGGAGCCCCTGCAAGTTCTCGAAAGGCTGCAGCACTGCTGGAGCCTTGAAGCGTCTCTGTCTCTGGGATACCGGGATACTTGATTTTCGAGCCCGGCCAGATTCAGGTCTGCTGCGAGGCTCCATTTCGCCGAATTTGCCCCGCGGTGGGCTGGAAGAATTACCTACGTATCTATTCTTTCAAGATCGAGAGTTAGTATTAGAGAGAGGGAGAAGACAAAGAGAGCAAACCAATGGGAGGAGGGGGGAGCAGGAGGGAAACAAGAGAGGGGATTCCCACGGGTTCTAGTAGTGAGCAGCGTGCTCGTTATGAGGTGGTGCTGATAGCGTGCATGCCTACTTACCACCGTGTATACCCCCCACGAGGACTCGACTTATAGTTAAGCGGAGACCAATATCCTAGCCTTTGGGCGGCCAGACGAGCAGGAAAATAGCGAAACAGCCAGCGTCTATGGAGCTGCACGTGGAAGTAGAAGCGGAAGCTGATGCAGGAATGACAGCCGACGCATATACAGCAGAGGCAGAAGGTGGTGATGAAATGGATGCAACGGGCTTCATGTGAACAACGGATGCTACCTGACAGCGAGAGGCAGAATTTTTTTTTCTTCATAAAAAAGGGTGGGGGGGTTGGCACTGATCTAAAGACGGGGCGCTGCCTGACCTTTACAGGTATATACATATTTACAGCTATGCAAGCCCTGCCTACTATACACGTCTTGACTCCTGAATGAAGCTCACGAATGCTGTAAAGACGCAGTCTATACAGTGGTTGCTGTATGCCGACAAGGAGGATGTCCCTCGAGCTCACTTGCATCAGAGATATTCATAACAGCTCCCCGGCACATCCCACACACCTAGCCGCACTAGGAGAGACCTAATGCAAGAGAGCAAATGTATATACACATGTATAGAAGACGGTATCGAACCGGCGCAAGTTAGGCACCCAAGCCACCCACCTCTTGCCTACCTCCTGTACAAGCATTTGTAGCGAAGGCTGCGCGAGATCCCTCTCGCTCGGGGCAACTCTTTAGGAAAGGCACTCATTCGAGGGCACCGGAAACATATACGTGTAGGTTGAGCTCTCTGGGTATTCGGCTGGTCGGTTTTATGCATGGGAGAGTCTTGACCCGATCGCCTGTCTACCTGGTAACGACAGACGGACAGGTACCTCCTGTGAACGTCGCGCCGAACGGACTGCGGATTGGATTTTACATCTTGTGACCCCAAAGTCCACTCTTCTGCTCCGGCGGTTCTTGCGTGTGGGCCAATGAGATCGGGCACGTATGCAGCGACCCCTGTTTGGCTCGCCGCTGTGGGTGGGCCCGACGCCCTGAAACTAACGGGCAGGCCCTTGCGCAAGATCAGCCCACCCGAAATCGCTGGGGCCCAGGTTACGGGTGGCCGTCGATTTGATTCTCTCTTGTTAGTACCTGACTTGAGCGGTGCACGACTGAAGCCAGCAGATAGGCAGGCAGGTACCCTCGTCGGTAGCGTTCTTCTTCTGGCTGATGATGCTAATAATAGGGGGCCGAGAGGGCCTAAGACCCGAAGATATCAGCATGCCCACGCCCCTTGTATGCTACGTACTCGTAGTGGATGGTACGTAGATGCTTAGACCTGTACAATTTCTACATCATTACAATCACATTATAAAATAAATAAAATATATATATATATATTAATAACTAAATATATTAACTATTAAATTATAAAATATATATTGTTATTTATAATATATACTTAATAAGAAATTAATATTTTATCACTTTAGTATTTTACTTCCTAATGCTACTCTCGTAGACCGTTTTCATGTACTTAACCCGTTATTAATCGTGGTGATATCTCTTAAGCAGGAACAGGACGCGAGAGAAGAAAATGCTACCCTGCGTGGCATGTCTGCCCAGAGCCTTGAAGCTCCCACTTCCACTGCGCACAGTGTCCTTCAATCCCCTCCTCCCCTCCCCTCCCCCTCATCATGGGTAGCTCCAAGCTCCTTTTTCCCTCGCGTTCCTGCTCTGCCCCTCCACAACCCTCCTTTCCTTAGTACCTCCCTATCTCTGGCCGCCTGTGTGGGTACATGAGGGCACCCCGGCTCGCGAGGCTAAGTACCTGTATACCCACCAGATACCGTCCTTGTATCCCGTCCTAAAGTACCGCAGTCTGCTGATAAACGCCAGTCCTGCCCTCGTAGTACCTACCTCCATGTATGCGCTTGAGTAACTTTGCCGAATTGCGAGGTACCGTGGCCCACTGGGATGAGTGTGCGTTAACCTTCCTTGATCCTAGGCATTTCGCTACGTAGTAGTAGCAGCCAATCCACCCGTCTAATTCTTCCATGTCTCTCTACTATTGTCTCTCCTCCCGCCCACTCCCACTCCCACTCCAAATCTCCCCACCACACACACCACACATACACACACGCACACACACATACACACACACACACACACACACCTACCTACCTTCTCACTCACCACATACACTGCTGCAGTTCGAACCTCGAACCTCGCTCCTAATGTAGGCTGAGGTGTGAGAATGTGAGAGTCGCAATACACGTCGGTCGATAGTCATTAACCACAGCCTTAAACTAGCATCCATTTACTGCGACATCCACCTGCTAGGATCCCTCCCTTCTCCAACCCTTCTCAATCTATCTACCTCTCGTCCCTCGATCTACATCCACCACCGTCGATTCTAACCTGGGGGCTTCGTTGCAAGAACTGCCCGCTCTCCATCCTCTCTGTGAAGAGGGACCAGTCCAGTCCTGTGGTGGTCGACGGTTGGACCCTACCCTACCCCCTCCTCCTTCCTTCTGTCTATCTCTTTTCTCTCTCCCTTCCATGCGCTCCACAACCTGTCGTCAATCATGTCCAATCCATCACCGTCCGCTACAGTCTCGGGGAACAATGCTGGCAACGACGACTCCGGTATGGCTCTCCTCCTTCGCCCCCGTTCCACCACCCCTTTATCTCGCCCAATTCCCATACTCTCTGCAGCCCTTCATCGACCGCCGGCAACAGGCAGGCATCGATTTACTACTACTCCTCGCTCCGCGTCTGGCGTCCCTGGACTGCTAAACTATCTCTCGAGCTGACTCGTTAGCTGACATTGCTCTCGTGTACAGCCTCGTCAATTACCGTGAATACTACTGCCGCGGCTGCCACTACTAGTGCTCCCGCCCCCTACCCTCCGCCCAAGACCGACAAGCCTCGCCCCCATGTCTGTGGTACTTGCCAGCGTTCGTTTGCCCGGCTGGAACACTTGAAACGCCATGAGCGTTCCCATACTAAAGAGAAGCCCTTCGAGTGTCCCGAGTGCGCGAGATGTTTTGCCCGACGAGACCTACTTTTGAGGCACCAGCAGAAACTCCATCAGACGACGACACCCTCGTCGCGCCCCCGGAACCGCCGTGAAAGCACTAGTAGCACTGCTACGGCGCAGAGTAGAGCTCGCAAGAACAGCGTTGCCAATGCTTCCGCCGACGGGAATGCTTCGATGAGGCCCCGCGCTAACACCATCAGCCATGTGGATGGGAACCATATGCATATGATCGCTGCGGCGAATGCTTCCGTCGCAAGAAGTCAGCACCATATACCCCCCACTCATAGTCGCCATCAGAGCCTCGTCGGCCTGCCGCTGCACAATGTGGAGCACGGCTTTGCTGGTATGTCCTCGGTCATGGGCCATCGTGGTGTGAGCCACGGTCTTCCGAAGCTGGAGACGCATTCGATCAACAACATGGACTTTAATGCTGGCCTTCGCACCGCACCCCCCCTGCCTTTCCAGCCCGACTTCGAATTCGATAGCTTCCTGTTTAGCCAGCCGAGTTCCACCACCGTAAACCCGAACGCGCTTCATTACACCGAATCCCCCCATTCCATGTCGCTTGATCCCATGTCTCCTTTCGGAAATGGGATCACGGACATGTCTACCCCTAACCAGCACATTGACGACAACTTTGACTGGTTAACCGGGTTCGAGCACCAGATGTCGTTTAGTAACCCGACCGAGAATGCCGTCGACGGCTCGTCCCCCTCGGCCATGAGCACTACTAGTCAGAGTGGCATCAGCGACGTAATGCTCGACGGTTCCAACCACACAAATTTGACGGCTGCCTCTAGCTCTATGTGGCAACCGGCCATCATGGGCCCTCCCCAGATGACACAGTTCCCTATGGACATGAGCAGCACCGTCTTTCCGGACCTTTTAAGTGGGGCCCCTGTGTCGCCCCAGCCGTCTTCCCAGAAGGCTATGAGTGAGATCTTCTTCTCAACGCCACCCCCGTCCATGAGCTCACTGAGTCCCTCGGTAATGCCGGGCTTGACTACGCAGACCGTGAACCAATCCCTCAACTTTGGGCCCAGCCCAGAGACGCCTACATCGATTAATGGCAGCCACCAATCGCATTCACCTGTTTCAACCATCACGGATATCACGCGAAACGCCATTATGAACTCGCTATCCCAGTGTGCCTCATTCGGCGGTCGTAAACGTTCCTTCACGTCGCCCAACTCCCCTATATCGCCACAGTTCCCAAACACCCCGGATAACGCATCCGACAATGCCAAAGGCCTGCCGTCTACCCAGGACCTCCAGCGATATGTCACTAGTTACTTTCGCTACTTCCACCCACACTTACCGTTCCTGCATATCCCTACGTTGTCCTTCGATACCCCATCCACCTCAGCTAACGGACGGTCAAATATTGCGGGTGGGAGCGGATGCCTGGTTCTATCGATGGCCGCTATCGGTGCTCTTTACGAGATGGATCGCCCCCAGTCGCGAGACCTGTTCGAGATGGCCAAGAAGATGATCCAATTATACCTAGAGGAGAGGAGGAAATCCGATATGCGGAAGGCTGATTTTCGTCGAACGCCATCCTCGGACCAGGGCGCCCAGGCGGCGGAAACTTCCATCCACACGCCCCTATGGCTTGTGCAAGCGATGCTCTTGAACGTAGTATATGGTCATAACTGCGGAGACAAGATCGCAAGCGATATCGCCTCAACCCATTCCACAGCCCTCGTTAGCCTCGCCCAAGCTGCGGGTCTCCTTCGGCCGATGAAGATGGACGCGGCAGAGGTCCGAGAGATCCAGGCGAACGATGCTGAGGGTAATTGGAACGGCGGTATCAAGGCCGAGTCCGACGACCAGGCCGAATGGTTGAGATGGAAGACGATGGAAGAGAGAAAACGGACCCTCTATGTCATCTTCATTTTTTCGAGTCTCCTCGTCACTGCTTACAACCACACTCCGGCGTTAACGAACTCGGAGATATTCTTGGATCTTCCATGTGACGAGGAGTTCTTTGCCGCGGAGAGCGCTGCGGCTTTCCAGTTGAAGGGTGGCATAAGGGCTGCAGGGCACAACCGCATGACATTCCACGAAGCCCTTGGGGAGCTGCTGCGCACCAACGAGAAACAACAGAAACTGAGTTTCGGGAATGGGCAGCAGTCCCTCAGTTCTACCGCTCACGTAAACGATGGCCTACCCGGCGAACTGAAACCCAGCACTCTAGGCTGCCTAGTGTTGATCAACGCTCTTCACAACTACATCTGGGAGACTCGCCAGCGGCACCACAATAAGGTGTGGACGAACGAGGAGACTGAGAAGATGCACCGCCACATTGAGCCGGCATTGAAGGCGTGGCAGTCAGCTTGGGCGAGCAATCCCCACCATAGTCTAGAACGTCCCAATCCGTTTGGCATGGGCCCTCTCTCTGCCGACGCTATTCCTCTACTCGATCTGGCCTATATTCGGTTGTTCGTTAACATGTCCCGGACCAAGGAGAAATTCTGGCAGCGAGACTGGGATGGCTTGGCGGATGAGCTCTCGCGTGGCAATGAAGTTAACCAGCAAGCAGAACATTCTCCCTCATCCAACGCTGAGTCGGCGACAGATCCGTCCGACGCATCCGGGGCAAGTTCAATCTTCATCGATTCACCACCCACACAGTCATCATCGCCTGAATTCGCATCCATGAAATTCTCGCCACCTTCGCACCCGCAGTCACAGACACAAGCAACGAACAACCGTTCTATTACCCGCCGGGAGAAACATCTGCGGAAGGCTGCCTTCTACGCCGCTGACTCGCTTTCCATGTCGGACAAGTTAGGGGTGACATTTGCTGAATTCTCGAGCCGGGAACTACCAGTACAGTCGGCGATGTGCTCCTTCGATTGCGCACAAGTCCTCGCGGAGTGGATCGCTACACTCCAGGATCGCGTTGGCAGATACTTGGGTGTTCTTGGGAAGGATGAAGTCGACATGGCGGGTGTTCCCGCTATAATGCTCCTCGAGGACGAAGATGTGAAGCTTATTCACAAGATCCAGGAACTCTTGTCTAGTGCTGATATGAAGATGAATATGGATATCGTGAGTGGTGGCGCCATTGATTCTCGCCTGCAGATGGACGGTCTCTGCGGGTATGCGGCAAAAATCCTGAGAGCTACGGCGTACATGCTTGACAAATCTGCCGTGTGGCCAGGTGAGCGGTAACCTGACGTTGACCATAATGTTCGCTTTATTAACTCGATTCTAGTGCTCCATTTGATGGCCCGCTGTCTCGAGAGCCACGCAAACTTTATGGCCTCGCGTGCCGACAAGTCTGTCATCGCTACCGAGTGAGAGCGATGTTTGAGTGCGAAACGGCACTTCACCATTTTTCAGGGCCAGACTGTCCATGGCTGCGTGCGTATGCTGTAGCTCGAGCCGATAAGTCCTCTGGCCCATGCTTTATGGGCACAGGGGATCCTGTCAGCGCGGAGCGGGTTCGACCTCGAGAGCATATGCCATCACCCCATTGTACATATTCAATATCTTGAAAATTATCCGGCGTGTTGATACGATGGACGAAGGGTTTACATCCCCAATGCTAGAAAATCAGAATTCGCGAAATCCAACGAGGCGCCGGGTCTGCTCTCACCCCTAGGATCTCACCTCGACCTGGCCATCCACTACGGCGTCAGATCACCTACCCTTCAGAATGGGCAATAGACTGGGAGGCAATCACGATGTTACGGAACGATGCATGAGTTACGCCGTTTAACGATCTCATACCCCCGGGGGGAGTCGAGAAATATGCTGTGAAAAGCCTCTCAGACCACGCGGGCAACATGGATAAGAGAGGTCCAAAAGAGAAGAGAGGGGAAAAAAAAAAAAGGAGTAGCGTTGGTAAGAAAAATGAATTGGGAGCCCCAAGCTCGGCCTACTCTCAGAACTGGATAGTAGGTGGTGTGATTACACGACAGGCGGTATCATAGAATTTCTAAGGCTACCGGGTCTTGCGAAGGGGGTGCTCCGCCCCGTATGGCGCATGGCATGGTAGAGGCTCTAGGTCTAGGGTGACGCACAGTTGCCAGTACGTGGTCAGCAAAAGGCACCGAAGGTGACAGGGGGGGAACCAGGAGGCGCCTTGCGGTTCCACTCGAGCCGAGGATAACAACAACATCGTAGTCCCAGTGGTGCCAACAACTCGGATAACTGTTATTTTCGCAGTGGGAAACCAGCAGCCTCACATCACGTATGGAGAATGGCGAAAGGAGGAGGTGGCGGAAGCGGGAACCGTTTGCCTCAGCTACCTTACTGGACCGTGTTGGGACTGGGTGAGGGACGGTTTAACGTATAAATGATTGCTTACGTTGCCCAACATTCTCAGCATAACGTATCTATTCAAGCGAGGACAGTGATTTTCCCTTTCGCAGTTATTGCAGGCTCAGGGAACCTCCGGCCGTAGAAAAGCGGGATATTACTACGGTGGCTTCCTCCAAGCATAGCCTTAGCCGACCCTGAATACCGACTGCCCTTCGTTGCGGTGCCGGAAGGAGACGAGAAAACTTGCTTGCTTTGTTGGGGATAGGAAACGATAGGTACTTACGTGCTATTCTCAGTTTCTCAGCAAACAGTTTCTCCCAATTGGGTGCGGATTATTGCCCGTTGTTGTCGCCCCATGAACGTAGCACCCATGCCCACCAACTCCGATCTGCAACGCCGAGGAGATATCATACCTCGGTATTACAAAAACCCCGGTCTGTGAAGCGGTGGCCCATGAAGGGGTAGGTTAGCTTACCCCGTTTGTTACGTAGGGAATCCTACTTGTAAGTCTACATAGCCTACGAGGGAGACGTGGGCGTCTACGTTTTTACGTGATGCCGCAGTTAAGAAAAAGCTAGCGTATTGCCCCTATCTGGTCTGCCAGGGATAGGGTCCGTGCTAGTGAGTCCCAGACTATGGTAATGAACCGTGTCAATACTCGCAGGCATATACCTATTTCTACGTTAGTCACGGTATTGATACCGACAGACGGGGCCGATCCGGGGTAATGTTGCGCCCGTCGGTGGTAACCCGGCGGCCCGGTTCCGCCCCCACCTGATTCCTACATTATACCTTAGCTGTGATATATCCACGATCTGTTCGTACTGATTCACTACTATACTTTTTAATATGATCTTCATCCTCCTTTTTAACGGCCCGATTTATGATCGGTTGGCTTCGTCCCCGCCTTAAACCACTGCACCCGTATTCACCTGATTTTATCGTCTTGCCTTCGTGGCCAATTTCGACGTGAAAACATAGATCGCCGACTTATATATCCCTTCAGCATTCGAGAGAAACGGCCAATTAATTAGGTCAAACTCGGAAACCTCCCTAGCATGGTTTCCTAACGCTCTCGGCTGGGCATCGTTAAATAGGTACTTTGGATGTAGTGTGTAGGGAGGGGTTTCATTTCCTTAATCGGCGCGTTAGCGACCATAAGACATAAGACATGTGACATTTAGCGCATGCCCCCGGGCACCCTGGATAAAGAGAGGGGGGTCAAGCTAGTTAGGGGTCAAGACTGATCACAAACTCGCCGGAATACATTAAAAGGTAAGAAGACCAAAGTCTATAGCGACTTAATGAAGGGATAACTGATTGTATTCCCGTTGTACTGCTTATTGTACCTATTAAAGTGAGCCTACGTTTAGCTTTCAGGCAGGCAAATATAGCGTAGGGAACTTTGCGTTTATAAAGGCAAACCATTCAGATCGTGTATTATGTGTAAAAACCCGTCACTCATGGATTCATCTCGGGTCAGTTACGTGTGGCTGTTTTGTCAAAATCAAGAGGGTAGCGATAACTACCGGCCGGTTTCTAGGGATATTATGACCATATGTTGCAACAACTACCCTTTTAATCGTAAGAAACGGAAGTCTGTCATGCCCAGATGTCCTCTGTCCGGAGCCTCGAAGCTAGTGACAGGGAAAATAAAAAGAGATGTTTGTAACTCGCTGGATTCTCCCTTGTTTTGTCCGTCTGCTGTCGTCTCATGGAACTATCCTATTGTTACGCCCGTGTCTTAGTTGAAAGAACTTGACACTGTCGGCTTGTCGGACAAAATTGCGCTACTCTGTGCTATGCCCTCTGATTTATTGTGACGACGAGAATCTCCCTCGTCACTCCCCTTACGTATGCAAAAGTCTTAAAATCTAGACGTTCTGAGTGCTAGGTATATGAACCGACGAGCTCTCCGGCTGAAGGTGGATACTACGCAGCGACCTACCTAACAGAAGAACCATCACAACTTCGGATTTAACATATTCAGACGAGAGTCGTATTCGCGATATGCATAGCTCGGCCGGCCAGCCTCTTTCTAACCCAAAGATGCCCCTCCGCGATGCGAAAGCTTCGTCTTTGCCGCTCTCAGCCCCTCTCCCACCATGTAGTATATACCAACTCCAAGTCACCAACTCGCTCGGCATCGCAGTTCGGGGTAATCCCATGCAGCCATTCTGGGAGGATGGACCCGACCAACGGTGTCCAAGCTGCGGGAAACTTTACTGGAAGTGTTGGTGCAATGTGAAGGGCAGAGCACAGTCGAGCGGATCTGCTTTCTCGTTTGTACGGAGAAGATGATGGTTTTGGGCGGACTCTATCCTTCCACCTGTCTACTGTGTCTTATCCGTACCGAATAATTCCGCGCTACAGCGTGTTCCTGGGCACCACCCGTACTACGCATACCGATAACATTAACTTGGTGATTTTTTTCTACTAATTTATACGTTTATCACGTATTTAATGCCTAGTTTCCCAAGGCAATGATAGGGTGGTACGCGATACTATCGTTGTGGGTGTCGCCGGGAGGCAAAACACCCGAAACACTCCAAGCGCAAGTATTACTTACTGACTATGGAGTCGAACATATTACAGAATTAATACGGTAATATTCGGGAACCCTACGAGCCAACGTTCATACCTGAGTATTCTCAGTACAAATACCGCACCGCTTACCGAGATGCTTCTTTATCACAGCCAAGTACATACGCAGCGTTAGGACTCCTCGTGCTGCTGGATAACACACCCAGGGCTCCCGTCATCCGCCCTCTCGACGTCTTCCTCGCCGGTTTCCTCGACCAGCCGCGCGCCGCAGCAAGACCAGTAGCAGTCGAGGTTCTGGGCCCACATGTTGAAATCGGAGAGCTTGACCTCCCACCGCGCGAAGGCCTCTGTAATCGAGTTGACCTGGTCGCCGTTACAAAGAACATAGCCTGGCGATAGCATGCATCCATGGTTAGCCCAACGAGTCCAGTCGAGGTTCGTAGGGCCGCCACCCGGCCTAACAAATCAGACTGGAGAACACAGTAGGTGTAGATGCACTCACCGGGATGGAATCGGCACGGACGGTGCCAGCTACACAACCCGCCCGCCACACATGGGCCCTCGCCCGCGCCCCGCGGCCAAAACCAGTCGCTGCAGTTGCGGCACCGGCGGAAGGTCTCGCGGACGGCACGCGGCAGGTTCGGGAACGCGACGTAGGTAGCGAGCCAGGCAAGGAAGTCATGACGGGCGCGGTGGCGCTGCGCGAGCGCGGCCAACAACAGAGGGCGGGTGACGATGACGTCGCACATGCGACGGGGGGCCGGGGCGCCCTCCCCGTCGGCTCCAGGCGCGCGCGCGCCAGCACGGGCGGCCTCGACGTGCTGGACGTGCTCCGCGAGGGTCATCGCCGAGAGGTCGCGCGGCGCGCCCGCGACACGGTACGCGTCGACGGCGATGCTGAGCATCGTCCGCAGCGTGATGCCAGCGGCACCGGGGCGTCCGCGAAAGTATGCTAGCTGCTCCCAGTCGACGATTACACGACGTGGTAGATTCATTGAACAGGGCGAGACAGAGGAGGAGGAGTTGGAGGAGGGAGCTGTAGCAAGTTGCTCGGTGGCTGTAATAGATGTGCTCTGCTGAAGCCCGCCGAAGCCGGAAGCCGTGGTGGATGTCTTCGTCGGGCCACCGTTGTGAGGAGCATCGCGTCCATATTCTTCGTACACGAGCCGCTTGATGATGCGGTATTGCTCTTTTCGCTTGTGACGGTCGGCTGCCATCTCCCGAGCCGTCCTCTTGAAGGCGATAACGCGGGGGTCCTTGTCGATGGGCTCCGGGGGCAGCTTCGCCCTTTTTTTCGTCTCTCTCGGCATGCTGCCGACAGAGCCTGAACTCGTGACAAGATTAGACGCCTTCTCCTAGCTGCAGGGTGGTGGGAGGAGGTTAGGCACAGGAGAGACGATATATCCGAAAGGCTGGGATGGATTCCGGCCTCGTTGACCGAGGACCTTATTGGATCTTGGGGGCAGAGAAAGGCGTGTTGGGCATGGGAAGCTAGAGTAGGCCGACTCGATGAGTACGGGACGATAGAGGACGTGGTTAATAAAAGTGGAAGGCAAGCTGAGTTAGTCGAGAAAATGGTTCACGGGGTTTCGAGCCCTCATTCTCCTAGGCACCAAGCGCACATAAACGGAGCTACCATAGGTTAATAATAACAGGCAACTATTCCCATACCGCGTCGACGTGTACCACGCGCTGTTGTCAGGGGTGAGGCAAGGCGAGAAACGCACTGCGCTCCTCCAAAGAAGAAGGCGATCACCGGAATTCCCGGTAGAGCTCGATGCAACACTTATCGGATAACACGTGTTGATAGCACCCGCAGTGCGTTGCATACATCATCGTCGCTACTTTCGTCTTCCATGCCACCCAGTATTACGAGACGGCATCGCAACAGGGCTGCCTCTAATGGAGCCTTCTCCGCCGAACACAGGTGCTGGTAAGGCTGGCCATCTAATGGATATATGCCTCTGGCTAGATCTGTGTGCACTATGTTACACGAGCATTCGTGTGCAGCGCAACTCGGCTAGTTATGCTAGTGAGTCATGTGTGAAGGTGAAGGGTATAGTCAGACGGTACGAGTTCTGGTGTTATACGATGATAGTCACGACCTTGGAGGTGAATAAACGGAATGTGACTAGAGATGACCAACTAAAACACTATTAGTACCCAACTCTCCTACTTAGACCGTGAGACACTCGCGTCTCCGCGAATTGATACCTGACCACAACCACTCTTCGAGTTCCCTAGGGGGAAACGGACCTGTTCCGGTTAGGTTAATTATTGCCCAGAGATATATGTATACCTATTATACTGCGTGATAGTCTCATATTTTCGCACTTTACTAAGCTTGAGTTCATATTACGTAGCACACGACACACGGCTACTGTACGGCTATGCAACTAGGAATTATGAATACCATATCGTTGGCAGTGCTAGGCAACTCGCATCGGAGACAGCAGTTGACAAGTGAACGTCTACGCGTCTAGCAACTAATCGCGATCATCGATGAATCGTTGGAATTATCTCCTACCCCTGCCTGAGATGCCCCTTTCGCGTAGAGAGCTGCGTCGATCTGTCCACCGGGTAGTATGCTGGACGGGACCAGCCGGTGTCCCAACGTGTTATTAATATGTAAGCTTATATAACGAGACGAAGACGTCTCGACGGGGTTCTTCCAAATGTGCAATCTCTCGAATCTATTGGTATCTCAAATGCCCCCTTCCCCAAACCCCAGTACACAAATAGTACAGTAACACGCTTTCCCAGAAAAGGCAAAAAGGCGATCGGGCCAACGCCCTCATGTTATTTCTCGACCCGCGTCTGGGCCGCGTCGATGCGTGTTGCCATGACAGAAAGCAACGGGTGCGCCAAAAACGCAACCAATAATGCGCCGTGGACGACTACCTCGCCCCTAATAGCTAGTGAGGCAGGAGTAGACCATCGCCACCAAAAGTGGGGTTGGAAAAGGAGAGAGAGAAAAAGAAGGAGGGGATACACGTGGTGGCGGTAGCGAAGGCACATTAGAAATGCCATGGCCCATTACAACCGGCCCCCGTCGACGAGGACGAGCAGCAACAACTCGACGCACCAGGCGACCCAGCTGAACAAGCCCTCGACGAGCCAGACGGCGCGGAGAGCGAGGCCGACCGAGAGCAGCAGGGCGTTGACCACGAGGCCGGCGGTGAGGTCGAGTCACGACAGCTTCTTGGTGCGGTTCCTGGCCACGCCAACCTTGCCGCTGAGAACGTCGGCCTGCGCGTTGACGTGGTCGAGCATCTCGGTCTGCTCCTCGACTTCGCGGTGGATCGCCTCCGCCATCTGGCGCTGCCGCCGGACGAGCCGGGTCAGCTCGTCGACGTCAGCGTCCTGCTCCTTCATCATCTGCCGTTGCAGCTGCACCACGCCCTGGTTGTCGAGCTCGCGGGTCCGCTCCGTCTCCGGCAGTGGCGCGCCTAGCACCCGCCCGCCGCGTGTCCGGGCGCCGTTTCCGATCAACGCCGCCTTATCCGCCGCCGACGGTGTCGCGCGCTGCGACGCCCGCCCCGCGGCTGACACCGTTGTGCTGAGCTTCTCGAGGTCTTCGCGGTCGACGCGCGCGGCTGCGAGCAGGTCCTTGCGGCGACGGATCTCGCCATCACCGAGACGGCGGGCGTCCTGCATGGTGCGCAGGCCGTCGCCGAGGAAGGTGAGCAAGGAACCGGCGCGTACAAGCGCCTTCTTGGCGGCGGCGCCGGCCTCGAGTGCGGTCGAGCTGTCGGGGGCGCCGTCGCGCCGCGCGAGGCAACGCCGGGCCTCCTGGAAGTCGCGCTTCATCTCCCCGTGCAGGTCAAGCCAGGTGCCGGGGTCCTGGGCTGCCGCGGCATTGGCGGCGTCCCGGTTTGGCGGAATCCCGTAGCTGCGTGCACCGTTTCGCACGCTTGCCGCGCTGTTGCCAGCGCTGCCAGCGCTCGGCAGATTAAGAAAGGTGCGCCAGGCCGGCGTGTCGCGCCATCGTCGGTCGGGGGACTCGGCGATGGCGCGGAGGTAGGATTCAAGAGCGCGGCGGCGGTCTTCGGTGAGCTCGGGCGACGTGACGGTCGACTTGAACCAGGTCTTGGCCGGCAAGGAGACGGGTGGTGGGGAGCCGACGAGGGAGGCGAGGGTCTGGTGCAGGGTGTCAAAGTCGGAGTAGCGCTTCTGGACGACGAAGGTGCGTAAAGGTAAGCGTAGGGTGATGTTGTAGATGGTGTACGGTTTCGAATTGTCGGCGGGTACGTGCTGCAATGTCGTCGGGATGGTGATTTCGACGGGCGGCGCCATTATTGCGCAGGGAAACCCCTTTTACGACATGAACCGGGAAGAAGAGTAGGGGAACGGAAGGGATGCGATCGACCGATCGGTGCTGCTGCTGCTGCTGCTGCTGCTGCTGCGAAGGCAGGACGGGAGGATTCCTGTCGGTTCCGGTGGCGGCTAACGCGTCAAATGGCCCTAGATCGCGCGAGATGGACGGATAGGGAGGGTATGAGAGCGGTTGGAGTAGCAGCGCATGAACTGATACCGCCGACTGTGCTGTGATGATGGAAGACGGGGAATGGCGAGTGAGTAGGCAGAGGAGACTCAGGCCGGCGGGCGATGTGCTTCAGAGCACGAGACACCTGCAACTGACCGACTCAGCCGGTGGCGGTCTGGCACCTGCTGTGGAGCCGATTATATAAGCCGTATAGCTAAGTTAAAGTAACTAGGTACCCGGTTATTCCGTTATTCCGACATTAGGGGCAGGTAGCGCATCATGTCAATACTTGTCGTAATATATGCCAGGTGCCGTCACTCGGAGGGTATGGCAACCTAGATGAACATAGATGCAGGTAAGCCATACTATGGGGTGTGGTGAATCCTGTCCGTTGCATGTACCCATCGCTATTCACCTAAAGAGGTCACGTGTTTTGACGTAGGCGGGTAAAGCATACGGATCAATCCGTCGCGTCCCTCCCTTACCATCAACGCCCTCGACCGTGTGTACACGCCTGTTGCTCCCATAGGTGAGAGATGACGCATCGTCATGGTAACCTCGTTTACTATGGTGAATACGGCGTATTTAGTTTCGACGATTGAAACCCCTGTCCCTGCTTCGATTTGCCCGGAAGATGCACCGAACACGCCGGGTGAGCATGACTGGCAGGCAATGCCTCACCGAAAATCGCCGCATGGCTCGACTCACATCAGTAAAAATGCTAGATCGGGAAAGGTAGACAGACAGACAGGAACATGAACGAGATATGCCCGTGCTGTGGGGGGGGAGCCATGGCTCAGGAGGGCCCGATATCAGAGTATACGTAGGTCACTGGTAGGAGGCACGAATACTATCAACGCATGAGAGCAGCGTATCAGCCTTTATTCCGGTAAATTCAACCGAGGATCGCTCTTCGAAGTGCCGAGTCCGGGACCGTTCGATCCAGTCTTCCTTGGCCGCTGGCTGAAAGGGATATTACCGAGTGGTCCGAAGAATGGTAGCTGACGGATGCTAAGCGAGCTGCGATGTCATCTCCACAGACCGGACTCGTTTCTCTTTCTTCCCTCTCTCGCCCCCCTTCATTCTCGCTACTACCGCCAGCTGGCCGGGACATGGCGTAAATAGAGGATAAGACAGGGAAAACGATAGCAGAAGAGCAATGAAGGAGGTAGGTAATATGAGATTACCAATTGGCCCATTTGCCTAGGTACGTGTTAGTCTTATTACCTTCTACCAACGGCTTGCTCTGACCTGCATACAGCTGTGATACGGGTATTGATGTATTCTAGGTCGGAGTCCGAGGCCCACTTAAGGCCCTGTATTAGGCACCTCACTCACCCTAGGTACGGGCAACCCCATATTGGCTCACGGTCCACTGCAAGACCAGTGTCAGCTGACTGAGACAATCGTAAGTGACACTGGCGCATCAATAGAAGCGGAATCTAGGTATGTATATCTTCCTACCAGCCGCTGCACAATTAGTGGCAACCCTATAATAATACGCACTATTATACTGCAGGCCATTCTGACATCGACCTTTTACTATAGGTACTTTTCCATGCTTGTATGGAGCCTACGGCAATATTAATACCTGCTCATAGGTAGTCAGACGACCCAAGGCGGGAGCGGTCCCACCTCCCCACTTCCTAACACGGACATATAGGTATAGGCAATCGTCTACGCGACGGGGCTGAAAGCAAGCCACGCGGTAATGATTTCGTATCGGCTTGGTTGAATCATCGTCCTGCGGGAGGAGGAGAAGGGGGCTCGGCCGCTCCTCCGTATATCGCCGATGGTATGAGAGTAAGCGGCGCCATTTAGCATCGCACGACTCGACCGCGGCCGCGTGATGCCGACGGATACAATAGGCACATGCATACTTATACGGGTAGCGGTAACGTTGCTTGCACGTTGCTTGCTACTTACTTACTCCCTTGCACTACCGGCCGGCTGCCTTAGGTTGAGCAGCCCGGACGGTTTGTTTGAGGCGAGGGGGGGAGCCCAATCATCGGATGCCGTGAGGCTTCAGCTCAACCAGCAGCAAAGTGGGCTGTGCCACATATTACTACCTATGTACCTAGGTACATTACAAACATACGAATACACACACCGGTCCGTCCGGACAAGCCGCAGGCGTGGGTGTGTTATATAGGCACAAGTCTACGACGCAGGTTGAATACCTCCTGTGATAGTGTATGATAATATACTTGCCCTACGGTATACCCTCTTGCGTCTATCTAGGCACCTACTAGTACTGCTACTACAAGGCATAAGACACCTAAAGCAGCATACTGCCGTTGTTTTAGGGACCCACACAATACATGAGTAAATTAATACGGTATGGATGCGAATGTTCAGTTCCATGTTGATCAGGAGAGCCAGTGCGCGGCTTTTCCCAGCACGCCGGAGACGAAGAAGCTGCATACACACCCACATGGGTACACACAAGTGGCTTTGCCGATAAAAATAACCATCTACGGCACAACACGAAAGGTTACATACACATGCATGCTGCTTACCATTGCCAGCCCGTGTCCTGCTGTCTCTAAAAACTCCATGCTGAGCCAATAGGGCCAGGTCTTTCCTTCTCGACACCGTCCCGTCCTCCCGGGGTCGATCCGCAGGGTCAGCTCCGCCGCCAGCATGTCAACGTGCCTATGAGTGCCGGAGAGCCTACCTATGCACATGTAGACATCCATACCTACCTCTACATACCTACCTACCTACTCATATGCCTATGTTTTCTTCTCCCCCGCCTCCAGCCCAATCCGGCGTGCCGTCAACAAAATACGAGTTCTTGGCAGCCCAACGCGGGCCGGGATCAACCGCCCGACGTCACTCCTTTTCCGGATCAGGTCACACAGGACGCTATCACCAGATCTCGCCTCACACGCTATGAACGGCCCACGTTCAGGTCGATCGATCGGTCCGGATATAAATCTGAACGCTTGTCCTCTCTATCCTTGGTAGGAGGCTTGTTGTAGACATCATCTCGACAACTACACCAACTACACATACATAATACACACATATATCTAATATATTACTCTTTCGCCCTTTCGACTGCCAAAGGCCTAGTTCGTACAACTACTCATCCCTTATCACGATAATCCCCCATTATTAGTGGTAGCGACACCTATTACCACAAGAACACGACCAACTATAAAAACTACGAACGCTCGCACGTCATTCCCAAGTCCGCCATCACAATGCGAGGCTTCTTCTCTACCATCGCCACCCTCCTGCCGCTAGCCGCCGCCGCGCCGATGGTTGCAGAGGTGCGCGACAGCAACCCGGGCTGCCAGGCTGCCTCGTTCGGTAACTTCGAGTGGACGATTGAGGACTTCGTGTACCACTCCAACTACATATTCACCACGCCAGCGCACCAGAATTCGTGGGGCTACGTCGACTTCAACCTGACGAACCCGGCCCTCGAGTACCCGGCCGTGTGCAGTGCGCGCAGCAACCAGCTGAGCGACTTCTTCTACGGCACGATGCCTTACAGGTGCACCGTCCCCGACGGCTCCACCACCGAGACCACCTTCGACTTCAGCCGGCCCAGCGGCGCCCTCAACGTCAACCAGACCTGGACCTGCAGCGACACCGATCCCAAGTATCCGTGAGTGTTTTTGGCGTCCTCTAGACGTCCCCACGTCTCCGCCGTGTTCGTGCTGACTTATCGTGACAGAACTACGATCCACGCCTACGGGTCCGTCAACCTGACTCTGTCCTGCACGGACGAGACGTGGATCAACCCGAACTGGACGATGGGCCAGATCTACTCGAGCCGGATAGTCGAGTGCGAGCCCGTCACGCTTCCGCTAAAGCCGTACCTGATAACTGCCGTCGCCTAAACCGGGGACGAGAGGGGGAAGGGGTTTCCTGGGGCGTCATTTTTTATGAGGAACGACTTCGACGGACGGATGCATGATAGGGATCTTCATGGGTGGGTTTCTACGAACCAGGGCGTAACGGACACGAGCACAAAATGATGTTACGAGATTCCAACTAGATATTATAGACTCGACGTCATCACATGGAAGGCGACAATTTAATGTTAATATGGATCATGAGAATACCTAGGTAGAGATACACATATATAGCTATGCAATTTTACACGGATAGATCTAGGTATGTTTTTGGGTACCTATATCTCACACACACACACGAATCTATGTTATTATGTTGCTTAACTAAGGCGCTTATCGAGCCGGCAAAGTGCTCATTAATCTCATCATAGGCACATCGCTCTAAGTTCTCCGGGCTTGTCTTAGTGAGCACCTCATTGAATGTGTCTATATACCGCCAAATGTAGTATTATCAGACCTCCCAAGTGTCTAAGTGTGTCTAAGCCTTGTCTTATGAGCAGGTTCAATTTTAGCCTGATCGGCGCTTATATTTACAACTATGTGTCGAAACGAGGTCGATCGGTCTTAGACATTGTACTTTATGTTGGTTTTATTGAATTTTGGTTGTTTTCTCTTACTTTGCAGCTTATTTCCTCTTTCTCTCTGCTCCTGTACTGGGTAGCACGTTGGTCCTTCGCGATCGAGCACAGCTAACCCCAGATCAAACCTACTTACCCACGGCAGCATAACTATCGCACAGCTCTTCCCGATCTTCCTCCCCATATGCTGAATTTCCAGCGAGGTCAATCGCACACGCCTCCCGCAGCCGTCTCCCCCTGCCGGACGTCCTGCCGCGGTGCGAGGGTGAAGTGCGCAAGTAGGCGCCAACCCCCGGCAACCCGCCTTCCAGTACTGATAGCCTAGCCCTCTACGATCTGCACTGATCTTACAGTGGGTCGGTTTGGTTCTGCCCTACGGCGAAAAGCTTAGCTGTCTGGACATACCGGGGCTCACGACGAACCGGGGAAGGGTTGAGAGGAATGAGAGGAGAAGAGGCAGATTTTATGTGCTACCGTCAGAGTATTAGTAGCGAACATTTAGGGAGCATGAGAGGCGCTTCTACCGCAGCAATATGAGTGCCATGTTTCCGCATTCCGGATATACCAATGATTGTTCTTCGGTATTATCAATCCAAGTAATCACAGACCTTACTAAAGTAATAGTGCACTGATTCCCTCACGTTCCTGAATAGCTTTGGGTATGTGGCAAAATATCGTCCCAATTGAGGCAATATTCAAATTCCGCAGAGATGTTCAGACATTAACGCAATAAAGAAATTCAATCGGGAGCTTTTCTCTCGTGTGCGAGTTATCACTACCTACTTGACGCTTCGGTTATTGGCCTATGGTCGATCTGCCTGCCTTCTACAGGGGCCTGCTTTAAACAAACCACGGCTGGCAAGACTCCCAATAGCAAGCCCATCTTTACTTACGATGACGCTTAGGCAAGACGGTCCTGGGCGATTGCGTAGGGGATTCAGCTGGACTGGTCGCACCCCGATCCCATTCGATGTCGTTGAAATCCACCTCAATTGGCCTGGGAGGTCCGTCAGCACGAATGTGCGCGTCGGGTGGGAATCCGTCGTCAAAATCCGGAAAGTCGAGATCCTGTGCCGATGGTACCATTGGAGAGAGTTCATCCGGCAATAGGTCGTAATACTGCGAGCAATGTTCTCGGAGCTTACCTTTCTTATGAGACCCTGCTGAGTTGCTGGGAGATGCAACCCTGACCAATTTGTCTCGGGACGGCGACCCTTGAGAGGAAGACGGGACTTCGGAGACGGCATGGTCCCTATCGTGAGCACGTTTGCTAAAATAATAATCAACGCCACGATCGCTCACATGGTAATGGATCAGATCAAAGAGCGGAGGGTGATCTAACAGGACCCGGACAAATGGTTTTTTGAGGATTGTTCGGGGTATCGTTACATCGTGAAGACGATCAGCCACTTCGGGGGGCGGTGCGTCATGGAACGCGTCTTCGTCCCACTCCTCTTCTTCCTCGTCACTGAATGGGTTTTCTTCCTGCTCGTCGCGGAACGTGTGCTCGTCCCACTCCTCTTCTTCCTGCTCATCACTGAACGGATCCTCTAATACCCACTCCCCCTCTTCTTCATCTCACTCTGAGAGCTCACCTTCCCCCAGGGGCTCCATGAGGTTCAGAGCCGTTGTATCGTAGCCCGAAAGAAAGGGATCATGCGGCTCTTCGTCGACATAGTCGGGATCACCACCGTCCAAACTGTCTCTAAAGTACCTATTGCGGGGATTCTCATTCGCCTCGGCTCTCGACCTCGGATCATATCCGCGAGCCATATCAGGTGAGAATCAACTAAGTTACCTTTGCGCTTTGTGTGAATCGTTTAGCTTTCTAGGAATCAAGGCAAGTTAGATACCATTCGTCGAGGAGCCGAAGTCAGACAAAGTAAATTTGTGACTAGGAGTGGATATCGCAAGTAGAACTAATTAGGAACTAGCAAAAAGTTGTCAGAGTCGGGATATTATATATCGAAAGGTTATACATGTGAACGGCACTCGAGTTTCTAGAGATGAATAGAGATCAGACCCGAATCAGAAACAATCAAGTTGTTCGATTTCTCTGTTGTGCCCGTTCAGCCTTTGTTTCCAAGACTTAGCTGACGTTGTGTTCCGAGGATTGTTTTATCAGTCACTGCTTTGTCGTATGAAAGACCAACTGCTAAATTCTAGAGATCAACCTCAAATATTAACCGACTACAGCCATAGCTCCCATTCGAGCAGCTGTATGGCGAGATAAATATGGGCTGTTGCTTTCGACATGGTCAATTCGATTTTCTCGATCGTTGTTGAATATTATATTATTAATATGACGAGTACTCTTGCTACGGCGCCCAGCCGATTTCCTCTATTGGCCATCGAATCCATAACCGATATCCTTCGTCCAGGACGGAGTATATCCATGCGATCAGGTAAGTACCCCAGCCCTCAATCCACCAGTTGTAGTCTAGGCGCTGGAATAAGACGCAGAAGAAGGCGAGCACGCACAGTGCCTCGTTATCTCGGGTCTTGAGCAGGTCGACAAAGCAGTCGTCTAGTTTAAACAGCCACATGAACGCGGCCCTCACTCGCTGGTCGTCGGAGAAGCTGCTGCTATAGAAGGCGTAGCTCCGCTTCAGGGTGTCTATTCCGTGCACCAGCGCCTCCAGCTTCTGCGAGTCCTTGACGTAGAACACGACGTTGTTCTCGAGTTCCTTAAGCCCTTCGTATATGGGCGGAATGTTAGCCTCCCACATTTCGTTCATCTGCCTGCCCGAGTCGAAGATGAGGCCCGTGGAAAGCATCGAGTGTACGGCGCTGCCGTTGAAGTGGATGACGCTCCGCATGCCCCTGAAAATGAACAGCCACTCGGGAATGACGCCGCCTCAGAGCACGATATTACTTTCGGGCTCCTTAGGACTAGCGAAGACAATGTAAGTCGTTAACATACTAAATACGAAAATTAGCACCGACTCTTCGGAGGATATGTTATTAAGGACGGGTAGTACTAGGGACGACGACGCGTTATAGTGGATCATCGCCTGCTCGATAAGTAGATCTTTCCACTAGGGTTTAAACCTAGCAAGATATAACGCGGATAGTAAGAGGATGCCCTTTAGGACGTATTAATAGGAGAACCCCATTCTAGGGACATTTACGCGCCAAAAGTTACGAACCGTAGGTTCGGCCAAGAAGGTAAAGCACGTTAAAGTGGTAAAATAGTAGAGTAGTTCCATGTCGAGAGCGCTAAACCAACCGCTCGAAGGGCATTGGTAGTTAAGAGAAGAGCTTACCGGCGATATGACTTAACTCCTAAGAGCCTGCCCGGCGCTATTATTACTCCCGACATAAGGGCTGCCAGCCGCATTCTACGCTAAGGCGTTAAAATCGCAACTAATACCGCGCCTACACCCTCGTTCCCACACCTCCGTCAACTCGCCGAATATCCGTCAGGCACCGCGACAGAGCCAAGTCATAATTGAGATAGAGGAGAAGGAGGGGAGGGAGGAAAGAGAGGAAGGGGGGGGAGGGCTTACCTTATACAGTTCCGGCAGGACGGCCGGGTCTCGTCGCACTACGGGAATATCGAATCAGACTCAGGTAGCGTTAATAGGGAAGCGAGGTAAACTAACCTACCTTAACCTTTCTGGATTTACATACTCGGCATCCAGTCCGAGTCTTCGGATACGGCCGTCGGATAGGCTTCTAGGTTAGCGACGCCATCTCTTCACACGGAGATCGGGGAAGAGGAGGGGGGCGTAAATCTATCTCTTGCCAGACGACGAGACGAAACCACAACGAATTACCTAAGATTCGCCAGCGAGGTCGAAGGAGCTATAAGGTCCGAAGTCGATCCTCGGAACGCGTAGTAATTACGAGTCATACAGGGGATGTAAATTTGCCAAGCGACGGGAGCTTCGGTCTCGTACATCTCGTATTCGTAGCCGGAGCGAGTCCGGCCCCCAGGCCATTCCAAGCATTCGTTAAGCCAAGGCTTTCGCGGCCCATAATACCACGTAAGTAGGTACAGAGCACATAGCCCTAACATCGACGATCGCCTTGGAGGAAGTTGAGTTAACTGGAACCATGGTCTATCGATATATTCAGTCCAGGGAATCCTAGCATAGTATGCTTACTCAGTACCATTACCAGTGTCTCGAAGTGCAAACCATTCACAAGACCGAGATAGGGAACACGAGGAGATAGGAGATTCTTCGTCTGGTCGGGCCACTGCTAAATAGTCCAGACACGTACTAAAGGATAGGATAAGAACTAATAGAGATAAAGTTGGGCATATATTAATCAGCCGTATAATAGCACCCAGACTAAGGCGGCGACGGGCGGGATATCCCCTCACAATATACGAAACTAATCTATACTACATTAAATACCCCACGGCGCGACTCGGTCAGACTCACGTACCGTTAGCTGGCTGCGTATACGTAACGCCATCGACCGTCGTACTCGGCGAGCCGGTTGCGTTAAATATATTGGTCAACGCGTCGATGGATAAGCGGAATCCGTCAGGGCTCGACTTCTTAGTCGCGCGCGTCCGGCCGGGGGCGGTGGTCTACGCGAGGTCGGAGAACCAGGTAAGCTCGCTCAACGTCGGGACCGGGCTGCCCACCGTAACGTTCTCCGCTCCGTTCAGGAAAGTTACGCCGTCGTCGGTAAATCCATCGTATGTCACCGCGATCGAGTGCACCACCGTGCCGTCCCCGTTAAGGGCGACGTCTACCCGCGCAGATCCGGCCACGGCTACCCGTAGCGTATAACTCCCGCCAGGGATCAGTAATCTCGGAGAGGGCACGTATCCCGGCTCGTAAGGCGTGCCCCAGGGAGTCACGTCGCTCAGTGGCACTACTGGCTCGAGGGCTTTTAGCCGACGGGAGGTGAAGCGGGCGATCATCGCTCGCTGCGTCCGGCCGCCCGGCTCAGTCGAGTCGGGGCAGGGGAGAGAGTTATTACCCCCGCAGGCCGGTGCGATAACGAGCGACTGCCGGTACACCAGGCGTGTGGTGTCGAAGGAGAACTTCGGGTCGGCCGTGCCGTTCCACATCGGGTCGTTGACGCTGCCGGGGCTCCCGTCGCCGGCCGCGTTCATCTGCTGGCCGTAGTAATCGCCGCGGTCCCCATGCCGGTCGAGGAGGTACGGCTGGAAGAACCGGCGATCGCCGTCGTTGCGCGTCGAGGATGTCACGGTTGCCGTGAGCAGATCTGTAATCGGAGGCACGTCCCGCATCCCCGCGAGGAACATCTGCCGGTTGGTGCCTCGCATGTCCATAATGGCAATCCATTCGTCGTCCGCGGAAATGTCGATTGGGTCGCAGTACTCGGGATGACTCGTTAAGCGACGGATGTCACCCGTAACCAAGTCGACGGCAAAGACGTCGATGCTCGACGACTCCCGCGGGTACCCGACGTAGGTAGCCTCTTTACCGGTGCCGCTGAACCCCCAGAACTCGCCCACAGTAATAGCTTTCTAATTAAAGCTGATTTGGCCTCCCTTTACGAGGAGGGGGACATGTCGATCGCTATCGGCAAATAGTATGCTCACGTTCGTCAAGTCGTATCGGGGAGCCAACGGCAGACTGGTGGTTAGTGAAGGGTCGAACACGAACCGGCCGACGTACGCATGTTGGTCTAATCCCCCCCCCCCCCCCCCCCCGTAACAGAGAACGAGTTGAAGCCGAGATGTACGTTATCTGGATGCAGACGTAATTCGCGCAGCGGCCCGCCCTCACCAGCCCCGTCGGTGGCAGTATTCCACCGGATAGCATAGACATGTGTCGACTTGGGAGTGCAGTTGTCGCTAGCTAGGTCGAACTCGCCGCAGTCGATTACGTTGGTGCCGGCAAGTATACGTTTTCCGTCGCGAAACGCCTGGGGGTAGTCCAGCCCCTCCGTCCGCCCTTTGGTATTGCTCTCGGGTACTCCGCAAGTAATACACTTGAACGAGCTGCCATCCGGAAAGGAGGTCCCGTCGGTCTTGGTGAGTATTATCTGGTCACCGCTGTAGATGCTAGCCGGATCGGGTACAGCTGGTGCGCCGGCGTACCTAACGCGAGCGATGACATGATTGTCGTCGGGTAGAAAGCTGCCTGTCTGGACCAAGCCACCGTGTTACAAGATGCAGCCCGTCCTCAGGGGGTTGATCCCGGGAGTGCACGACCCCTCTGAGTCGCCAGAGACAGGAGGAAGCGGTAGCTCTGTGACATCGATTGGCTCTGGCTGGGGAGGCGGCGGGATGATAGGAGCAGCCGACGAAGAAGCTACTTTCGCCGTCTGTAGCAGAGCTATGAGTACTGTCGTTGATAGGAGCATTTTGAGAAGATAGCCTCTGAACGAGGATAAAGAAACTTAGACTTGGGAGTTATTTTCTGGCCATTTTAAAGCAGCTGACATCGGGGTAGGCATAAGACTGTCCCTATCCGTAGCGGAGACGCCTATCCTATAGTGAAGAAGCTTTTCGGTGAAGATATACCTCTCCAACCGAGAGAGATCTTCTCGAAGTCATCCGTAATCCACGGAGGTTATCATCCCTTTGGCCACTGTCCGACACGTACATGGAAGCACAACTTGCTTCGAGGATACGTATCCTCCTGAGTATTCTTGCTCTCCCCGAATATCATCTGCTAATTCCTATAAAGAAACGCGTATATACCGGTATACCTACACGAAGAAGGATCAAATCGCCGCGTCTCGAGAGTACGAGCTAGCGGTAACATATCCGATAGAGTTTAGGTAGGGTGATGCTACCCACTGTAACACTCAGATCCAAATACATGTATACTTACATATATACCGACAAATACATAACCAAATATATATTAATATACCGTAATTCCTATGTCATCTTGCAGTGTTCATAGAACCCAGTAGTGTACAATATTAACGACGAATACATTTTTCTTACATAACGAGAGCATCTGACGTGTCGCGCGCAGCGTTTCACCGTGAGCTAAGCGTATACGTGGGAGGTTCTGCTGTAACTGGGGTGTATTTATTAGCTTGCTAGCTGTGCTTGATACCTACTCATTCGTTCTGTTGTAAGTTGCCTAGTTCTTTAGAACACAGGCTAAATCGTATTGCTAGCATGGAAAACACAGATCATGTTGCCATACCTCAAGTGACTACCCCTCAGGGGTTGCTCGCTGAGCCTATCCCATTCTTGTGATGTGCGTGTTCTGAGTCAAGGCGTGAAGTGCAAAGGAAAAACAAAGAGTAGTTTATTTCTAGTCTGCCAATGGTTATCAAACCGATCCCATCCAGCCCGAATTATATACCTGTATGCATATGGCATATATATAAGGGTATACTTATGGTGTATATATATCTAGTAGTACGTCTCATACAAACATACATATTCTCTCTCTCTATATATATATGCGTGTAGCATATGTAGGTCGTAAGTGTAGGTAGCACATGTGGGCAGTATATATTACGTAAGTATGCCAAGTATATGAAATACAAGTGCAAATGTAAACGGTGGTATATAAGATAGAGACCAAGGGTCTCACGGTGTACGCATTATATATTACCGCCGTAACTACAGATGTCGTATAGCACATCCATACATCTAAGCCGTCCCTGGGACTGCTGTAAGGGTTAAGTTCGCCCACCTGCTTTAACACTCGACAACGCCACCGAGCCGTTCCGGCTGGATCTTAGCCGGGGGTTCAAAAAAAAAAGAGAAAATACCATCAGAGCAGGGTATTGTCTACGCGTAACCCCAAATGAATCCACTATTGCTAATAATATCCGATACCGCCTCGGGTTCGTCTAGTCTGTGCCGCTCAGGCCTTCCGCGGCGTGATAACCACTTCCAACGGCTGCTTCTCCCAAAGCGAGAAGATCCGCTGGCCATGCCAGCCGTCGGACTTGGCGTCTAAGGTGAGATCGAAATTCCATAGGACCCTAGCCATGATCAGGCGCACCTCGTGGTACGCCAAGTTTCGCCCGATACAGTCGCGCGGCCCAAAGCTGAACGGACGATGAATATCGCGACGGTCATGGTAGAAGGGTGATGCCGGGTTCGTGACGGACTCGGGCAGCCACCGCTCCGGAACGAATTCTCGCGCCCGGTGGAAGTTGATCTCGGAGTAATAGGCCGAAAGATGGTGAACGCCGACGGTGGTCTACGGAAAGTAAGGGGGGAATGGTTAGAATTGGGACGGGAACGAGATGGCATCAGCGCATACATACCTTTGGGGGAATGGTGTAGCCAGCAATCTGCACGGGTGGACCATCGGGTACCGAGCGCGATAGTGCTAGGGGGACGGGAGGAAAAAGTCGCAGGGCTTCTTCTAGGCAGGCTATCATGTAGGGTAGCTTCGCGCGCGCCTCGTTGAGGGTGATGACCTCGTCGGATCCGAACGCGTCGCGAACTTCCTCGGTGGCTCTCCTGAGCGCATGCGGCGACTTCAGCATCCAGTACATTACGCCACTAAGAAGCGTCGCGGTGGTTTCCGACCCGGCGATCATAAGCAGGTCACTATTGGCGGTCAACTCGGTGTCGGTCAGCCCGTGCGCCTGGCCGCGAGACCGCAGAAAATAGTCCATGAAGTCGCCTCGGTCGGCTTGTTTTCTGTGGTAGAGGCGGCTCTGGACAAGCTGGTCGACGAGAGCGATATGGTTGGCCTGAGAGTCACGCATCTTGGACCCGGCGGTAAGCTTGATTATCAAACCCAGGATCGGCGAGACACCCATCAGGACGAGGACGGGCATGAACCTCATCAGCTTCCAGATGTTGTCGAGCCACGCATTCGACTTGCCCTGCTCCAAGCCGTTCAGAGAAGTGCCGAACGCCAGGTCGCCGATCAGGTCGAAGGTGGTGAAGTTGTACCACCGAACCATGTCCGTCGACCTGCCGGTCTTGGCCACCTCTCGCAGTCGCTCGATCAGCAAGTCAACATAGACCCGTATAAGCGGCTCCTGCTGCGTCAAGGCCTTGTCAGAGAAGGCAGGCAGCATCGCGCGACGGAAGCGAAAGTGGTCGGGCGCATTCGACGAGATGATCTTCTTGGGGTCCATGTGGATTCCCTTGGGGTAGAACTTGGGGAACTCGGCGTGGCCGTGGCCGTAGATATCTTTCCAAGCCTGGGGAGTAATGAATGAGACGGACCTAGGGCCCAGGCGGACCACCTCGCCGTACTTCGCATGGGCATCACGCACCTGGAACTCGGCGGTGCCCTTGACCATGCTGAGAGTCCTCGCAATGGGGAACGCGATCCACAGCGGCGGGCCGGGGATGTTCCGGAGTGGGTGGAAGTAGAGGTTATAGAGGACGGAGGAGAACTAGTACAAGACGGCGATCAAGACGGCGACGAGAGCGAAGCGCATCAAGTCGTAGGCGCCCATCTGGCCTCCGATCTGCTGTAGAAAGCCTGCCATAGCGAGAGGCCTCGAGTCGAATGTAGGTTGAGCGCTAGCGATGGCGAAAGGGCTATAGCAATGGGAAGAAGAGAGGAGAGTATAGGTATATATTTATCCAAATTAGTACCCGCCATGCACGTCCAGGGTAGCAACGCTGCCGATTAATTATCCCTATGTCGCTTATTGGATGCTGTTCTAGGATAGCTGGTGGTGTCGGAGATCGGGCGAGGCACGGCCGACTGAAGATAGCCGACCACCGTCATAACCCCAGGATTCTCACAACCCTGCTCCCCCAATTGCTCCAGGGTCCGTACCCGGTGGAAAATGTGAGGAGAGAGGGGGCGGTGGTAGGGGCGAGGCAGCTATGGCGCAGCAGTTGCGTAGCCAAGCTGTGTACCTAAAGTCGGACGCTTACGGACCTAACGGAATCCCTCGATAGGAGTGCACGAGGCGTCCCCCTACGGAGAAAAGGAGAGAGAGAGAGAGGGCAGGGCAAGGTGTGGAACGAGAGGAAACATCTCGGTCGGTCGAAAAGGGGCGGCAGCTATGCCTGCCGATTGACCTACCTAGGAACCCATCGCGCGGCGTCGCCCACAGATTGGCCTCAAGCCCCAGCCTCGTATACGTGTACGAAGAGCTGCTCGTACCTTGCCGTATAGGTACGTATAGAGAAAAATATGCTGCCTGGGATGTTGTCATGGGACGTTTATGCACAGCCGTTCGAGCCATCAAGGGATGGAACGGGTCCCGATGTGACGGTGCGAAATCGGGAATGCCTCTGCCCTGATTGGCGAGGAAGGAGGATGGAAGCGGAAGAGCAGACGGGAGCTATCTTAATTGCAGAACGTAGCGTAGGGCTTAGTAAGTCCTAGTATAATTGATAATTGTCCGTTGCGGCGCCGATAATGTGCATAGGTGCCCGGTAATAGCCGTGCCGAGTCTTGTTACTTTGTATAAACTTTGCATAGCGCGACTTGAACGGAGGTACCTATAATACATAAGTATAAATGCCTGCCTTCGGTACCCGGCTTAGCATGTAGGTGCCTAAGGGCGGGCCGAGGAGTTAGCCGGCTAGGAAAGGACAGTGAAGCACAGCGGCGCCGATTTGAGCTACCGACCTGCGGCGAGGCCCAGCCAACAACAGCCAGACAAATCACACCACATCCATTATCATTGTCCCCTCATGCTGTCGGCGCCAGCGGCGACTACACAGCAGCATTCGCCAGGTACCTGGAGTGCCGCGAGACGAATTCGTCCGTCGAATCAGCGAGAGGCAGACACACCGATCTGCACTTTGAAGACTCCGCGTCTACTAGGCGCGACTCGTCGGCTGGAGTTGACGGTGTCAGGGGCGTTACTATGTGCTCTCTGCTCCCGGTCGCGGCGAGAAGAGCCGCATGGACGTTCCTAAGGCGCCGCCGTCTCTTCCAGCGGAACTCGTCTACGATCTCACAGGCGTAGCGCCGGGTCCCGCGGTGCGCGAGTCGATTGGAATTGATCACCGCGGCGGCAAAGAGAGAGACGCAACAGCCTCAGTTGCGGACGTTGACACGGCCCTGGGAGCTTGAGCCTTGACACTCTGGTCGAGCGTCCTCTCTTCGGGAACGAGAGGGAATTGGGAGGCATCCATGAAGTAGCTGTGATGTGCAGTAGTACAGTGAGTCGAGTCGCTGGACCACCGGCCATTGTCCTTTCGAGGGAGACGAGGGGCGATCGTGATACACGGAGATGCCGACAGCCACAATCTGCATCTTAATGTAAGCCCCCGTGATGGGGAGCGGACTTAAAGAAACGGTTACCGCTTAGGGGAATAAGGGGGAGAGAAGAAAATGTGATGGTCAAGAGTTGGCTAGAATCGCGCCGATTAAAGCTATGTCTAGTAGAGCGATGCCCCCCAAATTCTGCCAGATTAGCGGGAAAAGGGGTATATATATGAGAAATGGAAGTGCATTATGGGTGTCTATCGTCAAACTCCGCAGTGTCCTCGAGAGGCGCGCGGGTGTATATAGAGCCTAGACCAGCGGTTTCCAATACCGCCGGAGATCCGCTCCCTTCGTGATAGTGCGAATCGGATGAGAAGCAAGTCCTGAAGACTTCATTCCGAATGCAAATCTCCCCGTCCCAGGCAGCACTCGCCCCGTCTCTTTTTTTTCAGTCACCTCATCATACAGCTGCTCCGATATTAATTAGTCGCCAACTCCCCTCCCTTTTGTCGTGGCATTCGCCGACTCGTTGTCTATCCCTGGTGACGTTGGGCAGGTTTAGAACGTCTCTTGATCATCTAGCGCCTCGCCCTCGGCCGGAATCTCGAAACCTTCTTCAGTCGAGTATAGTATCGTCTGGATCTGCTTGATGAGGCCGTCTTCCTGCTTCTCGAGCTCCGGATCCTCCTCAACGGCCTGCTGGACCAGCAGTTCTATGTCACGTAGCTTGCTAAAGTAAAAGTCGCGCTCGCGCTCAAGGCCAACTACCGTCTCCTTGAGAGTCGTATTCTCCTGCAGGAGAGCGGCCGACGCAGCACCGCCGGCGGCGCCAGCCTTAGCTGCACGGGGACCGGTTGTGGGGGTGGTCCCACCTCGTCGTGCTGCCGCCGAAGCGGTGCCCGCGGCTCGAGGGGCAGGGCCGCCACCGCCGCCAGCAGGCAGAGCACCGCCTTTTCTTCGCCCAACAGCATCGTAGTCTCCGCCAGGGTAGTATTGGTCCCAGTATCGTTTGGTCCACTGCAGAAACTCGAGATTGTCCTGCATCTTGCACTTGATAAGGGCCTCGACGGGGATGGGCTTGTCAACGGCGTGCTTGGTGAAGGTGCCTAGCAGAGACAACGTTAATCCAGGCACGATATATATAGTCTCCGGGTTCGAGGTGGGGCCTAAATAAAGGAGGAGAGCTCACTCTGCAAGACCTTGAAATTCTGGACGTACGCGTACTCCGAGTTAACGTTGAATTTGACACGCGACATAGGGACGTCGAGGAAGATGCTGTCGAAGACCTGACACAGAGCAGCGCTATATTCGGCAAAAGAGGGTGTAAAATTAGCTCAACTTTCTCGATGCCACCAATAAATATATCATCATCATCACCCAGCAGAAGCAAGCACCCTCTCGGCCGGCTCGACCGTGGCGGGTTCCGCTTCCCCATCTTCTCTCTCTCTCTCTCTTCTCTGAACCACCCAGGAGGCCGTTCGGCGGGGGAGGGGCAAGGATTACAAATCGCAGGGGATGTGACGTCGACCTACCCAGTACCGCATTGCTCAACCTTGGTCATGTTCAGCTGGAGGAGGCTGTTGAGCCAAGCTACCAGCTCCTGGCTGCGTATAGTCGTCAAGGATCAGTCGCGGAGTTCCATCATGCTAGAGCTGTTGGCAGGGAGAAGGAAGCTGGCTTATCGTTGCTCACCGAGATTCACCCATGTCTGCTGCTAGAATGGGGGATTCGTGGATAACGCCGAAGAGGAGGCGGGAGAGGAGGGCGATGCTGCGGGCGATGCTGCGGGCGTATAGAGCTCAGCCGACTGATGAAGAGGAGGGATGGGATGGTGAAATTCGCGTGTCTCGAGTCGCGAGTTGCTTGTAAAGAGATAGGCTGCCTGGGTTGGCGGTAATTACACGGGATTTTGTGGTATCGTATTTTTATTTTGGTAAAGGAGGAAAACGGGAATGGATGGCGCCTGTCGCCGTGACGCCCTCGGGACAGGTACATAAGGCAGGTACCGAGGAGGTGAGTTATACCCAATCTCTGCCCCTATCGCAATCCGCGCCGCCCAATCAACGTAGAGAAGCTATGGGCGCTGCAGGGATCTGATTGGTGGAAGGGCCCAAAGCAGTGCCCGACCCCGCTTCTTCCACCTCCGCTTACGTACATAGTAGGCTTTGGAAGGTTCGACAACGGCGGCAGACCAGAAAGTAGTCGGTACACGGCATCCGCCGGATAGCAGTGTGAGTCATCGCGCGTTCGGAGGCTTGAAGGCGTACCCGGTACAGCTGGTACTCCCACAAGCCACACCTTACGTCACATGACCCCAGCCTCGACTTGAGGCGCGCGCGACGACGGAGAGCAACCGGAAAACTTATGAGTACGTAACCACCTATATGTAGACAGACCCAAGCCACGCACCCGCCCTTGTACTGGTAGGTGGAGGCGGACCAAGCATCCCGTCAAAACCATTACCCCTGTGCGCGTCCCCAAACCTGAAGATCCGGCATCTTTCCAGCTTTGGATAAATAGCCTTACCTACCACTTGCTTTATCGCTGATCCGGTGTCGCGACTCTCTGTGGGCGGACGAGCTCTGGGTCCGGCCTCCAATATGACGACTTCAGCTGGTTTATAGACGGTGTAGCAACGGTAGAGCCCTTCCGCCGTAAGACGCGAGAGCAGTTTGCTCGCGGGACGCCTTGGAATGGCTGATGCAGGCATCCCTGCTTTGCAGCCGCTCCTCACAGCGAGCAAGGTTGATCGGCCTCTTGAGGCGCGCGAACCCGAGCCCGACCACCGGACCCCCCGCCGAACAGGAAAACCATCTTACCCGTTATCAATACTAAACACCTAAGAGCCCCACGATCGGCCTCTAATACCAGTCAAGTTCAATCTACACGCCTCATCCAGGGCTAACGCAAATGGGGCTCTAACTCGGCAGCGGTAAGCTCTGGTGGGACGCTTCCAAGGGCCTCAACGACAAGGCCTCTCCGCACATGCAGATAGGCGCGGTTTCGGCAATAATGCGGCCAGTAAACAAGCCTTTCATATTTGAGGACCACGGTGTTGATCCGGACCTCAGAAAGGCGTCTCCTGTTTTAATATCCGACAACCGTCAAAGGAACCCAAGGCAGTCTCTCGGCTTCCAGCACGGTCCTCTGGGTAGGCGCACCAATCACTTACTAGGACACCGTATAATCCACTTGGTGTCGCGTCTGTTCGAACCGGCACCGTGGTAGGAGACAGAGGGAGTTTTCCTTCGTCCGGGCAGCCTAGCACGCGCCATGGGATCTGTCCTGCTAGCCTTCTAGAGACTCGGCATAGCGCCTACGAGGGTCCCAGGCATTCTCAGCGTTTGTGATGCCTCGAAAGTGAGAACGTCAACGGTTTCGGGGGGCTGCCGCAGATGGTATGAAAGGGGTGGACTCTGCTTCCAGGAAAACACACTGCATTGTTGAAATACGAGGTAGCGCGTGTGTTCAGCCACGAACCTAAATCTATATACTTCCCTTGCATGGGGAACTCGAAGGCCCCCTCTACGGGGATCGTGGGCAGGCTAAAGGTAAGACATTGATAAGAGGATCGATAAGGGCGCGAAGGGGCGTATTTGAGGCATCAGACCTCTTAGATCCCGTTGGTAACAGGGAAGGCATCTTGGAAGATGTGGCAGCAACAATGTTGATCGTAACCGCAGAGCCAGCCAGCGTAGGCTCGATCTAACAAGCAATACGTGGGGTACTATCTTCTCGTCTGACTCAACAAGCACCCTCTCGGCATCGGCCAGATCAGCCTCCACCGTCATTGTGGTTCCTTTTTCAAAACCGCCGCGTGTCCTAAACAAAAGCGGCATGGTTCATGATTAGCTTTAAAAACGTCTCCTAATAAGAGAGCACCTGCGAGATGCAAAACACCGTCAATTCTCTGAAAGAGTAATCGACAACTGCAATAGGCATAATTCCAAATTCAATCTAGATACGGGCGCAGAAGTACCGGATGGCAACTCTCCGATATAGATTCCCATCCAGACCTACGATAGAGGCGCTTTATCACTAAGGCAGAGCATAACAGGCGCGGATTCCGCCCGGGTAATGGGTGTGACGCCAGTATATCCCTTCTCGGGTACAGCTAACCACCGATCCAACCCCCTTTAGTTCAACATCAAGCGGGTCAGCATTTTCGAAAGACCGGTCCAGGCCAAGTTACAGGAAACATTAGCTGGAGGGGGTCCTCTGCGGTGTTACTCTTATTCCTGAGGGGCCTTTAGAAGGCCTTAGCATGCCGACAGAAGCTCTAGTTGTCGATGCTGGTGAGCCAGAGAGTATAGTGAGCACCAACAGGACTCCAGACCTGGTCACCAATTATGGGTTTCAATCCCGGCGAACAGTAGTCGCGCGAGAACCATAGACGTGTTGGAGCTCAACACGCCGTAGTAATCGATAATACCACTCAGAACCCAGCGTTTAGGGCATCTAAGCTCACCGGAATGGCCATCATGTCCGACGGCGCAGCTCCAGCGGCCGGGTGTACAGAAGATACGCCTAGGCTAGGGAGAGACCAGTCCTTTGTTAATTAAAGCATGGCTTTCGCCATAGGGACGATACCAAAGGTCACCCCGATGTGGCCGACAAGACCCCCAATAGAGCTGACTAAGAGGGTATTGCCCCGTCCAGGAACAGAACTACCAAGCGTTTGTCGCACACCGTCATACTTGGCGGGATTGCCGGCCCCAATCTAATATACTAAGATCAATCCTGCGCCACAGTCCGAAATAGGCCAAAGTCTTACGAAGGTGATTGGTCCATGAAAATGGCGAAACGGTTATAATTACGTAAGCCGTCTAATATACTAAGATTAATCCTACGCTATAATTCGAAATAAGCTAAAGTCTTATAAAGGTAATTAGTTTATGAAAATAGCGAAACGATTATAATTACGTAAGCCGCTTTATAAAGCCATACGAAGCTATACGCCTACGTCTAGAACGTGCCTACGTACCCGCACGCTTACGTTTAGAACGTTCGTACCTACGTACCTGTATAGTTACGTCTATAGCGTTCGTACCTACGTACCTATACGCTATACGCTTACGCTTTACGTTACGTAATATACGGTATAAATTAACGATATACGTAAATAATTAATATTATATATTATACTTTCTTATAAATTATATATTAATTAAATAATTTACCTTCTTAAGGTAAATATATATTTTAATATAATTATTTAAAACTTATTATGTAATTATTTTAAACTTATAAATTAAAGCCTTAAAGTTAAATAGAACCTAATACTAAATTAAATAATATAATATATAATAATCTATTTAAACGTTTACGTTTATATATATTAACGCTTTATATTATAAAATAAATATAATAAATATAATAAATATTATTACGTAAATCAGGAAAGCTACGTAAGTATTTAGGTTACTTTATAATATAGTGGTACGGTAAGACATACCCTCTTAATGTATTACGTAATACGTTACGATAGGCCTTATGCCTATATAGAGTAACTATAGCTTCCGTAAGTACAGGCTATACTATACTTATTACTAGGTTTATTACTTAACTAAATTACTATCTTTATTATTTTTACTTTAATTAAAGATTCGTTTTTATCATTAGATTCGTCGTTCTCTAATTAGTATATTTATTTTAGTTATAGGCGCTTAAGTTACTTCGTCGTACCGCTATAGCCGAATAAGTAACTTTTGCGTTTTACTCCTTTTCTTCCCTTACCTCTTATACCTTCGGGCTAGCGACTACTACATCTCTACGACCAAAAGATATAGCTAAGATATAATAATTACATTAGATTCCTTATCCCTCGATTAATATAGCGGTATTAGTTTTATCTATCTTAAACCATCGTACGTATTATAGTCTTCGATAGAGTATACTTTCGAATGAACCTATCCGGGCCTCCAGCATCGCGTACGCTCTGTTCCTCCTTAATAAGTAATAAAATATAAGAAGAAGAAGATAAATTAACTAATGTAGTAGTGCGGTAAGACATACCCTCTTGATGTATTACGTAATATACTACGATAGGCCTTATACCTATATAGAGTAACCATAGCTCCCGTAAGTACGGGATATGCCATGCTTATTATTAAGTTTATTACCTAGCTAGATTACTATCTTTATTATTTTTACCTTAATTAAAGATTCGTTTTTATTATTAGATTCGTCGTTCTCCGATTAGTATATTTATTTTAGTTATAGGCGCTTAAGTTACTTCGTCGTACCGCTATAACCGAATAAATAACTTTTACGTTTTACTTCTTTTCTCCCCTTACCTCTTATGCCTTCGGGCTAGCGACTATTATATCTCTACGACTAAAAGGCATAGCTAAGATACGATAACTACATTAAATTCCTTACCTCTCGATTAGTATAGCGACATTAATTTTATTTATTTTAGATTATCGTACGTATTATAATCTTCGATAGAGTATACTTTCGAGTAAACCTATCTAG